TTACAGAGTTATAGTAATGTAGACTGAACAGCACATAACAATGGTACACAAGCCCCACAACTGTTGTCAGGGATGTGGGGGGCAGACCATAAAACCAGTCTGGTGGACAGGGAAGCCCAGAATATTGAAGAAGAAAGAGCACCAAAGAACAGGCTAGCAATCAGCCATACATGAGAGTACAGAGATAAACTACTAGTGAAAATCAGTCCTTCCGCCCTCCCTCCCTCTCTCTGTGTGTGTACATGTGTGTGTTTTCCAAGAGAGATAATTTCCTTTGAGTTTCAAGCCCTTCCTTAGAGCTTAGATTTACCTGCTGAAGCTTCCTAGGCAACTCCTGCAAACTTCTAGCAGGCAAATGCTACGTTAATTAGTACCTTGATTGTTCAGGCGGACCAGTGACTGCTCTGAAAACAAACTAAAACAACTGCCCTATCATTTCCTGATTAAGTAAAATTATTTCATTGAGTAAGTGCAAGCCAAGAGTTACAACTGAGTGGGACTTATTTTTTCCAAATCACTATGTGTGAATTTGGGCTGTTAGCACTGAGCTGGTGGGGTTGCCCCCCCACCCCCACCCCCCGCCCCTGGCAGGGCTGACCGTGCACATTTTTTCACTCTGGGCTATAGTTGAATGGGAGACAGAGCGGACAACGGGCATGCTGTTTTTCAGGGGTTTCCAAATGTTCTTGGCCATTTGGATCATTATGTGTTATGGACACTCTCACAAAATGGTGGTCATGAGCGGGCTTCCGTCACACAATGGCTACAAAATGTGTGACACATCACAAAACACTAATTTCCCAGAAGACAAAAGATGAAGTATGAAATAGAGGCGGGTTCAGAGTCCCCGAACGTAAGACCATTCTTTTGAACCCATAATGTGTGATGCAAACTGCCAGCCACTGCGTATCTATGGGAATTCCCTCCCCTTCATCTTTCTCCATCTATCAACAAGGGTTTCTTCATGATCCTCATGGGCAGAATGGTGCATGTGATCTCCTGTGGACATGTGTAGCCAGAAGGCTTGTAAAAGGACAGATAGTACATGTACAGTTTTGTGTCACGACAGGACTTATGGGATAGCTGGCACACTACCTCGCCCTTTGTGGCCCTCTGGGATGCTCCCTCATGTTGCATTTTGCATTTGACCTCAGTATAATTGGTTTGCAATGACAACAATTATAACAATTAGTCCTGGTACTAATAACTGACCCTGGCATTCTATTTCCATTATCGAAGGTCTTGCAAATGTGCAGTTGTCTCCTCTGCATCAAGAAAGTCTGAGGTATGGTCAAACTGAAGCAGGACTTGAACAGAATGCTGCTGATTTCAGATGAATTAGGAGCCTAAGTTATTGTGCTGTTCCAGGTATAGGAGCAGATTTAGCTAAAACTGTTGCTGAGGAAGGAATATTATCAATGATCTTTGTTCCTTAATTTGCAGACTGACAACTGTCCAGGGACGAGTGAAGAACCAAAATCAATTTGTTGCTTGTGTGAATAAGCCACATTGTGTGAACAAGCTGCATTTGCTCTTGACTTGTGGTAATATATGAATGCTGCCTCTGAAAGAACAGCTTGTCTGATGCCTTCTCAGACCACAGACAGGTTTGTTTAGGTAAATAACCTGGATTAGAATCAGAACTGTGATGGTGCCTGGTGAAGAGTACTTCTGGTATAACAGGCTTCTGCTCCCATCCTTCTCCCTGAACTCCCCAGGCATCTTCCAAGTCTTCAGAGGGCTCCCACTCCTCCGGAAGAGACTGGAAGGGTGCTCAGCATGCTGCAGGGGGAAGGGCAGGACAGGAAAGTGCCGCTCCATCACAAGTATCTTTCTGATGGCAGAATAATAATTCTGGATCCAAGCCCTTCTGTACATCATGCAAACTTTGTTGTAAGCCATCCCGAGGTGTGGACGGGGTATAAAAGTTATAAATAAATAAACCAACTATGCCAAATGGCCTCATTTTCACATACTAGATAACAAAAATACCAATAAATTCAAAAGTTATGGCCAATGACAGCTTCATAGGGGCCTCTCTAACATCACTGGGTAGCTGCACCACTGCACCATAAACTAACCACCGGGGTCTGGGAGACACCAGCTACATGTGTGTGCAGACTTTGGAGCTGAATGCGATGTCGTTGACTACATTGTGATTTATTGTGCCAGAGATGATAATGGTAGGTATAGAAGCCCATGCTGGAATTAGTCTGTGATGGCTCACTCAGGTGACTGCCTTCGTCAGGTGAGGAGCATTCCTGGGGAAAGCGGTCATCTAGTTGCCATCAGCTGGCAGCACCCAAGGGATTGAGAACAGGGCTGGCCCAAAGCACTGTGTCAGCATTTCCTGGGCCCCCCGGCCTCACATCAGAAGTCATGTTGTGCCATTCAGAAACCAATTCCTGCCTTCATCATATTTCCCCCATCCAGATTCTAAATCCTGCCCATCTTTCTGTCTGATGAATGTACTGGAACTTGATAGAATTTTCCAGGGAGGGACTTAATTATGTGATTCAACCTAAAAAATGCAAAAGGGACAGCATTTAGAAGTGACATTTCAGAGGCGTGGAAGTATTATTAAAGGTAATAATACACCTTGAACTTGTCACACGAAAAGCGAGAAGCATGTTGTACTAATAATCTGCGGAGCAAAGAATTCAGAAGGATTCTGTTTAGTGTATTAAACACGACAGTGAAAGGGGCGGGATTGTCTGCATGCAGAGCATGTGCTCTGTGCTGATCGGCAGCTCTTCCCTGCATGCTGAATTGGTGTTCTGCAGATTTTAGCATGCCCTCTCCAGAATCAGACACGGTCTAGACTTCTCCAGGTTCCTTTTGTGTATTTAATACCTCAGTTTGTAGGTTGCATGTTTATTTCTTTATTTATTGCATAATCTGCATACCACTCTCCAATCAAATGGGTCTCAACCAGATGTCTAAAGATCGGAATGGTAGATGTCGAGTGTTGATATGGAGGCACATTCTGGGGGTTTCTGTGCAGAACACAGTGCTTTACAAAAATGAGGTGAACCTCAGGAACGTCAGAAGCACTCCTTCCAAGGGGCACAACAACGGGGACATAAGGGGTAAGGTGATCCCCAAGGTTACCTGGTGCCAAGTTGCTTAGGGCTTTACATGTTAACAAAATACTAAACTTGGTCTGGTCGCCAGTGCAGTTCTGGTAAAGGCATACCTAATGCAGTCCTGAGTTCTGCACCAGCCACAACTCCCAAACCAAGGCTAATGGTATAGCCATGCACATGATCCACACAGAACCATCTGTCAATGGATGATGGAAGTTGTGGCCCAAAAGTTTTAAACGATTTGGACTTCAAACTTTTTTTCCAAAAAATGTTTGCTTGTTCCCTACTCTACATTCATCAGAGTATGTAATGCATTGTATGTGAAGCAGTATTAGTGTTGCATTATGGTTCATTGGAGCTTCTTCCCTTTAAGCCTCTAATGACCAATCACAGGAAGCTATGAGACAAGCCGATGGACCATCTAGCCTAGCGATGTCAACACTGATGGGCAGTGCTTCAGCAGCGATTCGAGGGATTGCAAAGCCAGTGCTCTGCCACTGAGCTGCATGTAGATTTAACACACACAGTCAAGCAGCGAGTTAAACGTTTCTTTTGGTGATGCTTTGATGACTTACTCATATGCACACTTCACTGCCTCAGCACTCAATCCAAGGCAGGCATTTGACAGTGTAAGGCAGCAAATGAAATATTTAGGAATACTGTACAGTACAGGGGTCACAACTCAGAAGTTTAGCATATGCTCAAGTGCGGAGGAGGACTTGGGGTCTATTGTTACCATCTCCCACTAAATGGATCTCATAGGGCAGCTCAGGAAAGATCCAGACATGCAAGAGACTTCTGCCAATCAAAGGGGATAGCAGTGCTATGTCAAGACATGAAGTCAAGTCCTTCCCTTAATACTGAAAGCTCTGGGCCAGCCACGTATTGACTACTTATATAACGAAACTGCTGCTTCCTATTTTGCAGGAGAAGAATGGAGAAAACCCGCCAGTGCGTTTGGTTGCTACCGTCTCACACTCTGCTGTTCTCGTTGTCTGCTGACTTAACAGAGCCAAATGAATAAAAAGACAGCCAGGAGCTGCTCTCACAGACAGGAAGTAACTTTAATTAAATATTGTGAAAGTTGAAAAGTTTTTACAGCTTGAATTTCTGCAAAAAAATTATAACAATCTCTACAGTAGTTAGTTTTTTTCTAACAATAGAACTGTACAGTGTTTGTGTCTATTCCAAAAAGGTTTAGTTAAGAAGGTGAAAGATAAGTCGATTCAGAGATGACTTCAGTCTAGTACAATGGAGAAGAAATAGGTATCCTTCACACAATCCAGCCAATACGAGGCTTCACTTTGTAAAGATTGAAACATGAGCATTTGCACTTAAAGCCATATTCTGTAAAGCGCGACATCTTTAAGAATCATATAAAAGCCACAGGATCAATTTGGGGCAGTTGATTTTTTAAATATAAAGTTCCTTTTACTGGTGCACTATAAATACTTGGAGAAAGAAACCAATTCTACATACTGTCAAAGGATCTTTGGACATTGACAGAAAGGGCTATATATGTATATGATTTTGTATGAGTGTCTAAATAGGTGAAGCTCTCTCTGAACGGGGGTCATTGGAGGGACAAAATATGGCTTTAAATTTGATTACATTGCAGTGCTGTTGCTTACTATGTGAATTAGAATAAATGCTTGAACTAGAGAGAAGCAATACATTGATGTTCCTTATATTTTCCAGTTTCTTTATGTGTGAATGTGTTCCTATTGTTCTATGGGAAAAAATTATGTTTTTTTTTTTCCTTTCTCTCCCTCCCCACCATGCCCACCCTCCCTTCCCAAAAGATCACACAGTGACATCTGAGTGAAATCCATTGCAAAATTCATAAAGGAAGCATGCACCATTGCAGCATTGTCGCATGTCTAGAAAAAAGTCACATTGTCTTAAGGTAACAAAACAGTTCTTTTGTGCTTTTCAAATTTCTTTTTTTTTCTCCTTAGAATGTTAGTGATGATTGACAGTTCTGGTGCGCAGTACAATGTACAAGTGAAATGAATATGATTTGCATTGTTAAGGCATCCAATCTGCTGGTTTATATTTATGTGAAAGACAGAGAAATATACAAGCAGACAAGAAAGAAAGTATTTTCATTGATTTCTATGAAGTATCTCCCCATATTTAATGCACAAAAAATGCGTCACTCCAAAGGGGAGAGATTCCATGCATATTAATAGAGTAAAACAGCATTAGATTTTTTTATAAGCCTCAAAAGCAAAGGATACTTTTTAAATCTACGTAACTAAATGCTACAAGAATAATATGCTACTTTTTGCCATATATTGGGAAAAAACCTTCTTAACTTACAAATAATACAAAAATAGACAATGGCTTTTGAGTGAAAATAAAACAAAAATGGAAGCATGGTTTAAAACAATTACTAAAAAACCCTATAAATGAATTGTATTAAAATCACATTTAAACAGCTAATACACCTGTGAATGACCAAACAAATTAGCACTTTTCACATAGCAAACATACACAATAAAATAAACTGGGATGCTGCAGGGAAAAAGCAATGTACAAATTCCAAAGATAAATACATTATTTATATGGATATTTTACAAAATTCATCTTTAAAAAAAAGCTTTTTTTCTTTAATTCATTTTGCAAGCATGTGCAATCTTAAAGGTAGTGAGCTCATTCTGCAAAATATGCAATAATTCTTGTGTGTGTGTATGAGAGAGAGAGAGAGAGAGAGAGAGAGAGAGAGAGAGAGAGAGAGAGAGACTGAAAAACTGTCTTAAGACATTAAGTTGTATAAATAGAACAATAACTTTGGCCAAAAAAAGGGAAATGAAAAAAATCACCTGAAAAAAGAACTGCAGTATTCATAACTAGATACAAAATGCAAAGACGGAACAGATGAGGCTATGCATCCTTAAAGGTTTGTTGCATCTTTGCCTAAGAACACTTCCCAGTAATGAGAGCTAAATTCATTTGAAGGCTTATTTTGCAACTTTCCCCTCTCTGCCTCCCTCATCCTTCTTTTATATTTTGTTTTTCTATCAAAAACACCACTACCTGTGGCTTCAGAGATTATGTTGCAAAACAAAGTGGTTGACTGATACAAAAGCAATTGCAGTTCAAAACAGATTTGTCTTTTTGTGTTTAAGTGTGTGTGCATGTGTGTTTGTGTGTGTGTGTGTGCTTCTGGGACATTCTCGGGGATGGAGGGATGAATTCTGTCTTAACCCCTGAACAAAAAACAAAAAAAAAAAACCCCCACAAAAAACACAGGTGTATTTCAATCGAAGGTATGCAAAAATGTACTAAAATGGCTCACATTTGTGCCTTTATTTTGATCACATAGAATCCCAAGGTTTGTATATGTAGATGGAATTAAATTGTACTTAGGGAGACCACTCATTTGGAGCAAGTTTGATATAAGCTAAAGAGAAGAGAGCCATGCTAACCTAATCCTGCAGTTTTTAGCATTATATCCAGAGGCACTGGTTTCCAAGATAAAGGTGGGATATGCATGTCTTTAGCTACACTTTTACTACTTTACTGTCTTGCATTATTTACACACTCACCTAAGTTCAATGTTGCAAGAAAGGTCATGGGGAGGGTCTGAAGAAATTCTCCTGACTTCTGAAATGGAACCCTAACGCGTCTCTGTGTGTCTGTGTCAGAAATGCAAAACACTGGATGGGAACCGTTGCTGGACAGGAACTGCACATGAGCCAAGCCTTAACTGCTGCATCCAGTGCTTTGAAAGAAAGCACAGCTAACCGCCCCTGACTGGCACTTCTACTTCTGTTCCGTTCAAACTCATCTATAAGTTTGCCGCTTTACTTCCCTTCATTGCAGCTTTTCCTTTCTTTTTTCCTCTAAGCGGCTTTTAGCAAAGGTGCCTCTTCATTCCTTTATGATTTGTAAAAGACTAATGGTGAATGAATTAAAGCAAAAGCAAATAACGAGTGGATTTTCTTCAGGACACAAAATAAATCTCTCTCCCAAGCACTTGGGATGGACAGCTCAAATTAACACCTTGCAGTTGCAGACTCTGGGTGAATTTCAGCATTATTTTGCAAGGACAGTAATTTTTCCATCTTATTTTGTGTAAAAACTTTGCAGTTATTGAGAGATTCCTTTTTCCTTTAAAAAAAAAAGGCCTGAGTTAAAAGTTCCGCTCTGGGACTTATGTCAGACTTTGTTCTGAAGCAGAATCCAACTTCTTCCTTAGTTAATTCTTCAAGGCAATTCTTTCACATGGGGGGAACTATCATGCCAGATATAGCTGTGAAAAGGGATAAGGAAGGAGAGAAAGAAGAAGTAGTTAATTCACTTTGTGCAAGAGAACACTTGTTCCAAATATTTAGTAGCACTTCATTCATCTGAAGTTTGGACTTACACAGCATTTTAAGTGAAAGCTTGGGAATGAAATGTAATATCTGAAGCAATTCAGCTCCTCTAGAATCACCCGATTGGGAGGTGTAGCCCCAGAAAATTGAGTGCTTATGAGGACACACCTCGATACTGCGATTCTAAGCATATATATTACTCCTGTGCAAGCAAGTTAAAATGCTCAACAAAGATGAGTTTGTTAACTTCAATCAAAATTTGCTTAGGCTTTTGCAGCTGAGAACTAACACTGACAATCATTGAGCATATTGCAATATAAATTCTGTAAAGTGGAATTAAAATACTTTTATAATTTTGAAAAAAAAGTTTATTGCTCATTAAATATTCCATTCTGGTGTTGAAAATGCCTAGAGTGAGTTTTCCCCATTTATAACCTATGGATTGGGTGTCACTGAAAAAAGAAATAGTGGAAATTCCTTGTAAAGATGAAAGAGCAGTTGCAATGCATTTTGATCAGACAGAAAAACTCTTGACTGTAAGGAGCAGTACCTTATAGGAGTCACTAGCACAAGAGAGTCTGATCCAATTGCTGAATGCAAAGGTGAACTTATTGTCAAAGATGCAGAAGGAAAAGGTCTTTATTTGAATGTGCTTCAGAGACAAACAGGGACAATATTATAAAAGGCAAATACTTGCATGTCAAAACCAGATTGCAAAGCTGGGGACCATCCTACATCTGCCCAGATGCTGTGAGGATGGCCTTCTGAAACTCATGGTATTTCTCAGTACGTTTCTGTGTTGAAGAATGCTGTGGAAACTAATGGGACCGTGCATGTGGAGCTGCTGTGTGCAGTCCCAAGATGATCCGGCAATGCAGGACGGTATTTTCTATTCCAACTGGCAGCAGCTGTTCCAAGAGCTCCATTCTATGCAATCCATTCAGGGGGAGCTGCCAGGGACCAGAACTCTTCCATACAAAGCATGTGCTAAACCTCTGGGTTTTCCTGCTCCCTGCACATTCCTTAGTACTGAAGGCTCCAGGCCAGCACAGATTGGCTACTTATGCCCCAAACCCCAGAAGATGAACTCCCCACTCAGTTTGGGGAGTTGGTCTCAAACAATACCTGCCATTCCTACAGAAGCCTAACAGTTCTGCCCTAGAATCTGCCTTCTGCATGAGGAATGGACCTTCTGTGAGAGAGCAGGTCCCCTGAACAAGAAGGTCCTTCAGGTCAGTGTTGGGGGATCCCTCCCTTTGCAACCTACTCCATCCAGTTGCCTCCTGTGTTGAATTTCCAAGGGGCTGCAGAGGCTGCTGCAGGAAGGAGGGGGTAGGGAAGTCCACTTCCATCAGTGAAATCTGTGCGCCAGTGAAATCTGCGCCTGTGAAATCCGGACCACCCCTGACAGGGTCGTGGGAAAGCCCATGCCTCTGGCCCGCTAGTCCAGCATCTAGGAAATGCTTGTCCCAGTGTTGCTCCCACAGCCACTGATATTCAGAAAAGATACTCCTCCAAGCTAGGATATCCTATTTAGCTATCATCCATTTAAAACTTTTTTTACCCCACCTTGTCTCCCAGGTATTCTAGGTAGCTTGGAAAAAAAGTCAGCGATTCAAGGATTAAAAACATCCAGCTTCTCCTGAGGTTGTCTGGTCCACAATTCTTCCCCACCTCTTTTAGCCTGCCTAAGATTTATTTATTTGATTTACAGCCCATCTTTTTTTCTTTCAAGGCGCTCAAGGCGGCTTACATCATTCTCCTCCTGCTCTCAATCTTATTCCCATAACAAGAACCCTGTGAGGTAGGTTGGGCCAAGACTCTTTGACTGGCTCAAAGTCACCCTGTTGGCTCCAGGGCTGTCCTGAGTCCTGCTCCCGCACTCTTAACCTCTACACCACCCTGGTTCTCAAAAAAGATCTCCGTTCTTTTATATGCAGACAAAATAATTCCCTTGCCTCTTACTCATGTTGATCTAAAAAGGCAGTTAACTGAGCCTGGTGTGTATTGTAAAGAGGAACATCTAAAGATCAATTACTGAAAAGTCAGGATTATAGGAAATTGGAAAACAAATATCAGAAATTCCAATGGTCAATAGATAAGCAACTGACAGACCAATGCCAAAAATCTAAATATCTAGGAATTCATTTTGAAGACACACTTCCACGGAAGACTTATATGAATACAATGTTTTTCCTGTACTTAACAGAATTTTAAAGACTGGGATTCCAGATGCCAGAACTAATTCAGATTTTATTCTATTTCTTCACTCATTTCAGTCAGCCTACTCAGGATTTTTGAATGAAGTACATTATTCAATGGAGCAATATTCGTACATTCAAAATTTTCATGGAGGATTTGGATGTATAAAAATAACCTGGATATGGCTCATTATGGTTAACCTTATTTTCCTTAAGCTCAACAAGCCCTTCTGGCTATCAGTGTTCAAAAAATGCTGTGATGAATGGGTGACTTTAGATTTCTCTGGCACAGCATAGATGTTTTATGGAATAGCTGAGAGAGATCTTCCATATTAACTTTTTATTCTAAAAAATTTTATTCGGGTCTTAGTTTTAAGTTTCTGGATTGGGAGTCATTCAAAAACTAGCGCAGAAAAGATCAAATATTTTTTGTATGACATGGATCTGTGCTCTCAGTGATAGCATTAAATTCCTACGGAGATGCTCTGATCTAATAATAATTGAGTATTTATTTTTTCTAGTACTGTGTTTTATAGGTACTATATTTTAATACACGTATTTGCTAATGTAATTTGTTGTGTCACATATTTTCCTTAATTTTTTTGCCAAGAGCTTTGGTCTTAAGAAATGACCAAGTCTGACCTGACCTGACCTGACCTTCCAATTTACAATGCAACATGGAACAAAAAACAGCAGCAGGAAACAACTTTCAACAAATAGAGATCAATTAAAACAGCAAATTAAAATTACATACTGAATGCCTTCCTAAAAAGGAGTGACGTCTCAGTTTCTAGAAGGTCATAACTGATGATCACATAGAATTAAAGCCTCCGATAGATCTTTCCTCCGTGAAGATACCCAATTAGTTCAAATGCACTCTAAGCTAATGGCTGTCACAATTTGTGGTGGTGCGAAGTGCACTAGCAGTGCCTGGTGTGAAGAAGCTTTTTTCTGAATCTACTGCCGATTTATTTCAATGGGTGATCCAGATTTTGAAAGAGCAAGATAACTTCTCTCTGTCCATTTTGTCACCAGCATGTATATACAAACCTCTGTAATCTGTTTGATTTCAAGGTCTTGATTTTACCTCTCTCTCTCTCTCTCTCTCTCTTTTTTCGCAATGCACAGACACTTACATCCCCTTGATCTTGAATAAGCCAATTAGAAAATAGTTCAATCCAACCCACATATTCACCTTTAAGAAAGTTGTGCAAGGGAGTGACTCGTATCCCTTCAAATTCAAATTTGGTTCCTGTCCAGCTGCATGAAAAAGCTGCTGATGAAAATCTGGTGCAGTTAGAAGAGAGATGTGCAAACGAGGAATGTACGCATCCCCCGGCGGTGCGGTGACTTTGCAACTCAGCTACTGCTGTGAAGCTGCCACAGGAAACAGTCCTGCTGTGAGGCTAACCGATGAGATTGGAACTTGCAGAGATGACCACTGCTCTGCGGAATTCCTACCATGTGGAAGCAGATTCTCACCAGTAGCTCCACTAGTTTTAACATACTCCAAACACATACATTACATTCAAAAGGTGGTGTTTGTGACAGATAAATAAGCTTCCATGGAGCGCCCATGAGAGTTTGTTGCCCAAAACTGACATCCAGGGTGAAATCCAGTCAAAACACTTCTCTTTCAAATTAAGCCAGTTCACGACACACTGACTTCGACAGGGCTAACAGCCACGCATCCAGCTTAACTGAACTCTAGATCATGATATTTGTGCTTGCTGCTTAGGCAGATCTGCAAGCATAATCTAGGCACACTCCTCCAATGCAATGCCAAAACACGACCTATTCTAAGCAAATACATCATCACAGCTGGGAGTCATACGATTCATAGTGATGGTTGTGACAAGACCACCTCTTTAAAATGGCAGCTGTGTGGTTATTTCTAACAGGACATAAAATGAATGCTGGTCTTTAGATTGATGCAGTTCATGGGTACATGATTTAAAATCGAAACAGCCATCTCAAACATCTGGGCAAGCGATTTCTTGAGGAAGAATTCAGACCCATGACCAGTTCTAATTCATTGTGCCTTAATTACAGCTGCAATAATTTGATAAGAACCAAGCCAAAGTGAAAGACATGCAGAGTTAGGGAGGGCAGGAATTGGGAGGGGATGTTTTCTCCACAAACATCACCATATGTGCATGAATTACAAGACTAATCAGCAAGAGGAAGGCAGTTTAAGCAAATGGCAGTGACTAAATGACAGAAAACAAGAGAAGACAAGAATGCAAAATATTTGCAGTTGGAGCCCTGTTTCATAAGGATGTGACCTGTTCCAGGAACAAAACAGCCATGCCCCCCACAAGTAAACCTGGCACCCCTCTCCTTCTGCAGCATTCCTCAAAGGACACAGATAAAGTCTTGACAAACAAGCCTCTCTAATCTCAGTGAAACTGTGATCAGAGGAACATTTTGGAAGGAAAGATACATCTGAAAACAGACCAGAGGTTAAATGTTAAGCCCTTTACTATTTAAATTTTTGATCGTTTAAATAGTGAACAGCTGATAATAGCAACAAATATTGTTCTAGCCAGATGTTGGGCAGCTGTCACTATGTCAATGTTTTTGGGATGAACTATTTCCAAACTGGAAAATATTATTAGAAATTTTGGCACAGAAAAGAAATGAATCACTTGCGAGCAAGCTAACTTTTTTGAATGAAGCATTAACTTCTAAAAGCTTTTACCGTGGTATTTCCTAGTAGGGCTCTAAAAGGCCCC